GGAAGGTGCAAATCTTCTGGAATAATGGCTGCTAATCATTTAGCTGTGCCTGTGTGGTAGCAGAGTTCAGGCCCCTTTTATCCTCCTAACCTGGTCAGCCTCCATTAGTTTTACAAAGGTGGTTTAGTTTTGAGGACTATTTTCGTTTAAACTATACATTTCTGCCAAAGTTAGCTTGGCCCACACCAGGAATGACCAAGGGCAGTTTGGAGGTTAAACACAAGATGGAGTTGATTAGGTCAGATCTCTTTCACTGTCATAATTTTCTGTTACAATTTTTGCAAAGGCAGTTTCAGTTGCAGAAAGTTCTGTTAGACATTGCTGGTCTGTATGTTCTATTGTTTAAGTCATAGGACTTAGTAGACAGGCAATAGCTATATCCTCTGTGCTATAATACATTTGTAGGCTTAAACGGTAAGTTGAGTTGTCCATAGATGTAGGTTTGAATCCTATTTATTAACTTGCTATTGGCCTACCCGACTGGCTTTACATTCCCTCCTCTGACCAGGGAGGTTCAGTCATATCAGAGGTTTCCATCTACTTTATCTCCAAGGGTCCCTGTGGTTGTGTCTTTGTTCTCTTGGACCCACACCCATGATGAAAATGAACTGCTTTATTAGATAATGATTGGCTTACCCTCCCACTTTTGTTAACGAAGGCTATTTATAACTACCAACAAAACCCTTGATGGCATAAGATTATCACAGTTCTTGTCGTGAATTGAAGTAAGTCCAGCCCAAACTTAGAAACAGGACATTATGGTTAGCTTAGTTCCTTATCTCTAGTAATTGTACAGTTTCCATGTGTCGTCTTTCAAATATTAAAAATAACTTATTAGTGTTGCTCCATGTCTCTGTTACTACCTTCTCCTGCCCTTAGGTCTTAAGTGTGCCAAGTTAGGATTGCTTAAAGTTTCTTCAGCTTTTTAAAGAGATTCTAGATCCGGGGAGTGAAAAACTTTCAACAAAATAAAGTTAACAGAGTTTATTTGAGTGAAGAATGATTTATGAATCAGGCGGCACTCACAACCAGAAGAGGTACAGAGAGCTCTATTCTATAACATGGGCAGTGAGTATTTAAGACAGGAAAAGGCTTGAAGAAAGCAGAAATGAGGAACAAACAGTACACTGTTTGTTTAAAAGTTACTTTCCTTGTAAGGGTTAAAGCATCCTTCCTTATCATGCTGGCTAAAAGAGGCCAGTTTGGGGATTTGGCATTAATTATGTTTTTCTCCTGATTTCTTGTTTCAGTTTGGTGACATGAAACTTTAGCATGAGTGACTCCATTTTGGTTTGGTCTGATGGGGTCTAGTGCAGGAGCTTGGTCCAAATCAATGGCCTCCTGTAAATTTTATTTAACAATATCCCCACATTTTGGTCAGGCTATCTGTCACCTAGGTGAGTGTGACCGAAACCTGGGGCATCAGTGTTACTCTCATTCACCACCATTCCCAGTTCTTGGCCTCAACATGTCACTTATAGGTCCTGGTGACCTAGATATCATGCTTTTCTTTGATTTTTAAAAATTGTTCCAGCCATTTGGATAGAGACCATTTGCCATTCAACTAATGCTGCATGCAAACATTTTAGACCTTTTGAGAGGGAGACAATTATTATGACTGTCAGGAGGATAATACCAAGAGTGTGGTGTGTGCTCCTTAGCCAAAGCTTCCATGCACAAATCAGATCAATTAGGCAAAGTGAAAACAACGGTTAATGGCTAGAAATGTGGTCTCTGAGTCCAGAGGGCAGTCAGAAGAGTGGCAGATGTTAGATTTGAAGCATCTTATATTTTTAAAAATAATTTTTTAACTTTTTTTTTTTTTCAGAGACAGGATCTTGCTATATTGCCAGGCTGGTCTTGAACTTCTAGGCTCAAGGGATCCTCTTGCCTGAACTTTCTGAGTAGCTGGTACTACAGGCACATGTCACCATGCCCAGCTTTTTTTTTTTTTTTGATGTGGGGTCTCGCTATGTTACCCAGGCTGGTCTTGCATTTCTGGCCTCTAGTAATCCTCCCACCTCAGCATCCTTAGTAGCTGGGACTATATGCATGAGCCATTATACTTGGCTTTGAAGCATCTTTTGCAGTTTGAATGTTTCGAGTGATGTCTGTGCAGCTCCCAGCAGCAGGCACAAAAGTTGTCCATACATAAACTGTGGTGGTGAGTTCTCTTTAAGTCTAGATTAAGTTGTCCAGCTTCAGCTTGCAGGGCTTCTGGGAAAGGGAAGGTTTTGTTCTTACTGATTCCAAGTCAGAAAGATAGAAGGAAATTGGAAATGTTAGTTTGAAGAGTTACAACTAGATATTGAAGGAAACTAAAAGAATCCAGGATCCAGTCCAGTTTACAAGTAAAAGCTTTACAAAATGAACAGGGCTAGAATCTAATAACAGGTATATAATAGTTTTCTTCTGAAACATAATTTTTCTGTTGGTCATCCCCATCCCCACCAAAGTCAATTATGGCAAGATCAATCAGCCTGCAGAACAAGTCTAATCTGATTAACAAGTATAACAAGAATAGTGATTGACCACGCAAGCTCTTTTTAAGCCTGCTTCACTGGAACATTTGGTAAGGAATCTCAGATTAGACTTTTAAAAGTCTTTTGTCTAGTTTGTTTTGCATTGCTCTAAAGGAATACCTGAGGCTGGGTAATTTACACAGAAAAAAGGTGTATTTGGCTCACAGTTCTACAGGCTATATAAGAATCATGGTGCAAGCATCTGCTTGGCTTCTGGTGAGAGCCTTAGGAAGCTTTAATTCATGGTGAAAGGCAAGGGGAACTGATGTGTCAGATGGCCAGTGAGGGAGCAAGACGAAAGAGAGGAGGAGGTACCAGGCTCCTTTAAACAACCTGTTCTTTCATGGGCTGCTAGAGTGAGACTCACTCATTACTTCAGCGAGAGCATCCAGAGCATCGAGCCATTCATGAGGGATCTACTCCCATAAACCAAACACCTCCCACTAGGCCCCACCTCCAACACTGGGGATCATATTTCAACCTAAGGTTTGGATTGAAATATCCAAATATCCAAACTATATCACCTTTCCAGACTAGGAAGCCAAGCCAAGGACTCACTCTCTTATGCCGTCATACCTGTAATACCAATAGATTTGGGTCAACTGTTCTTCAGATCTTCAAAATATCTTTAAAGTTTCTGGGCCTTCTTTTCATAAGGCTAAAAAAACCCAGTGTTCGATGCACATTTTCAAATATGATGCTCCAGCCAAAGCCTTAGTAAAATAACCAATGTTTCCAATTGTATTCTGTTATAAAGAGAACAAATTCTTATTGCACTTATTCAGATAACGATATTGTCATAAAATAAGAATATTCAGCCAGGTGTGGTGTCTCACACCTATAATCCCAGCACTTTGGGAGGCAGAAGTGGGCGGATTTCTTGAGCCCAGGACTTTAAGACCAGCCTGGGCAACATAATGAGACCTTGTCTCTACAAAAAACAAACAAATCAGCTGGGTATCATGTTACATGCCCAGCTACTCTGCGCTGAGGTAGGAGGATCATCTGAGCCTGGGAGGTGGAGGTTTCAGTAGGCCGTGATGATGCTGCTGTACTCCGGCCTGGGTGACAGAGCGAGATCCTTTCTCACTAACAGTTTCTGAATTATGGAGAGATCAAGTAGAAAGAAAAAAGGTATTGTTTCAATTATGTTACAAAGGTATAATTTACCAAATTCTTGTAAGCTATAGATATATTTTTTTAAATCCCTTAAATTTGGAATACAAATATGAAGCAGATAATAAAAAACCAATTATTGCTGGATGCGGTGGCATATGCCTGTAGTCCCAGCTACTCTGGAGGCTGAGATAGAAGGACTGCTTGAGCCCAGGAGTTTGAGTCAAGCCAGTCTGGGCAACATGTCTCTAAAACAGAAACAAAACAAAACACAAGCTGAATTATTTCTCTCTCTTTTTTTTGAGACAGAGTCTTCCTCTGTCACCCAGGCTGGAGTGCAGTGGCACAATCACGGCTCACTGCAACCTCTGTGAGGTTGGAACCTCACTGCAACTTAAATCCTTTGGGATTTAAGTGGTTCTTATGCCTCAGCCTCCCGAGAGCTGGGATTATGGGCATGCACCACCAGGCCCAACCAATTTTGGGTATTTTTAGTAGAGATAGGGTTTTGCCGTGTTGGCCAGGCTGGTCTTGAAATCCTGGGCTCGAGTGATCTGTGTGCCTCAGCCTCCCCAAATGCTGGGATTACAGCCATGAGCCACTGTGCCCAGCCTGGTTCTTTTTCATCAGTTCATTTAGTTCCATATAATTAATTCTCATTTTGTTTGATGTTGGACTAGCAACTTACGAACCAATATGTTTCTTCATTAGAGTTCTGGAGGTTCTTACACAGTCCAATGCCATATTATTGTGTTATCAGAAACCTGTAATTGTCAGAATATTCTCCATAAATTTCCTTGGAGATATACTATTTTAGGATTATAGGTACCTACAAAACCTTTCAGGAGAGCATCAGAGTAAAACAATTTACTGTCTATGGATGACAAGACTTAAAGTGGTCTTGGTTAAAGATCCAATGAGTTTATTATGATAATGACACAATTGACACATAAAATTATTATTTCTGTGATATACAACATTTTAACATAATAACCAGAATTATGACTGATAACATTATTACAGATTTCTCGTAATTTCACGTAATTTCTGGAATACGTAAACAATTATCATTGCGCTTATTTGACAATGCTTATTCTGCAAATTTAACATGTCAATTAAGCCTAATTAGCTTAACATTTCTCTTTTATGGAAAGACCCGTTCCAAAGTCAATTTGGGGTAAAAAAGGCTTAATTTAGAATTTGATTTTGGAAAGCTTATCAAAAATACAAAAATATTTGTCAATATTAATATAAATATTAAAGGTTTGATTTTTATCAGTATCAAAGGTTTGGTTTTGGAAAGTTTGTCAAAAATATCAAAACACAGCTGGGTGCAGTGGCTCACGCCTGTAATCCCAGCACTTTGGGGGGTCAAGGCAGGTGGGTCACGAGGTCAAGACATCAAGATCATCCTGGCCAACATGGTGAAACCCCGTCTCTACTAAAAATACAAAAATTAGCTGGGTGTGGTGGTACACACCCATAGTCCTAGCTACTGTGGAGACTGAGGCAGGTGAATCGCTTGAACCCAGGAGGCAGAGTTTGCAGTGAACCAAAATCACACGACTGCACTCCAGGTTGGTGACAGAGTGAGACTCTGTCTCAAAATCAAAACACTTGATTAGGATCACAGGTTATTATAAGACAGTACCAAAATGGCAAAGGATTTTAAAGGCAAATACAGAAAAGTTACATAGTTGAAAAAAAACCTTTTAACATTGAGAATACTCTATTTTCTTAATTAAAAGATCTAATAAAAGACAACATGGGCAATACAAAATAACTTCTACAACTAATTCATTATGTTCATAAACTTTGTTACTGAGTGGCTTTAATAAAATTCAGATATTCAGAAAATACCCTCCAACAGGTACATTCTCAGCCTCTGGAGTAAGTGATGGAATTTAAGTATAAAGCATTGTTCAGAGGTTAATGAAACTCTTTCACGGCATACTCATCTACTTACCATTCAGAACTCTGTCATGTAGCTCAAACATACTCATCTACTTGTCATGAAGAACTCTGTCATGTAGCTCAAACATTAGAACTAAAAACGTTAGTTGTTTCAGTTGCAGCACCCTACTTACAAATAGAAATTTTTCCCTCCTGAGAGACATAAGCGTATCATGTGGTGAGCATATATGCTCTTTTTTGGCTAGGCAGTATATATTTTCCTTTCTTTTAATTAGTGCTATTAATAATTTGAACTTCTCCCCCGCTTCCTTTCTCTTCCATCGTGGTGTGTGCTTGACTCCGCTTCTCGCCATGACTTCTCACAAGACTTTCAGGATTAAGCAATTCCTGGCCAAGAAACAAAAGCAAAATCGTCCCAGTCCCCAGTGGATTTGGATGAAAACTGGTAGTAAAATCAGGTACAACTCCAAAAGGAGACATTGGAGAAGAACTAAGCTGGGCCTAGAAGGAATTGCACATGAGGTGGCACACATATTTATGCGGTCTGAAGGTCACAATCACATTACTATATCAAGCTGAAAATGTTCCCACTATCTGGAGAGTTGGACATGTTTTACTGGGAATATATTTTTTCTCTCTGAATCTGTTATGAACGCATTTGTTGGCTTGGGTCAGTAATAAATATGTGAGACCTTTCATTTAAAAATAATAATAATTTGAACTTCTAGGAGAACCACCCTAAGTGCTTCAACAGACTTAACTCTACCCCTGATTCCAGGGATGAACATGTGACTCAGACTTACCAATCAGAGATGTCATTCTCTGTCCTATGACCCAATATAGGCCAATAAGAGTCAGGCACAGAACTTTTATAGAAGAAAATACAAGAAACTGCAATGTGAGCAGCCATCTTGCTAAACAGGTGGACTCTAAGAAAGAAGCCAACAGAGCTGATATATCAGACACTTAGATCTGAGAACATAATTTAAGTCCCTGAATCTTGTCAAGCCAGAATTCAAATTTACTTGTGGACTTTTACAAAATTTCTCCTTTTGCATAAACTAGTTCATGTTAAGATTTTCCTTATCAATTTTTTGTGAAATAGTGAATTTTATCTCATATGGATAAATAGTGATTTAAACAAAAAAATTAAACACTGGAGAAGAGCTATGTCATTTTTAATCACTTCTAGTTTCAGACATTAGAGTCAGAAGCTTGAAGGACACTTATGTAGCTCCTCTGGCCCCAGGCACGGCATCTAAAAATAGCCTACTGAGGACATTTTGTCTTTCCTCATGAGGTCTGCAGCCCAACACATGTAGAAACTCAGTAGAATACTTGTTGAATGTTGAACAAATCTGGGGTAGTGTGGACTTCCATGAAGCTCTAATATGTGTGCATTCCTTATTCCTGAAATAAACTATTCATACATATGCAAAAAAAAGACAATGTAAAGCACAGGAAATCATTTTGATAAATACCAATTCTTTGTTTTCTAGGCAGAGCACTTAAAAAAACACTTTTCCAATAAGACTTTGTTTTTTTAGCCTAGAGAAACCAGCTCCAAGTTTTGTACCAATGTACTTTTGATATTAAGGTTCAATTTAAAACCCTTAAATAATTTTATTCAATTTTGATCATCTCAACCACACATAAAATTTCTCTTTCAAAAGCCTTCTACCACTTTAATTTTTTTGTTTGTTTTAATTTTAAGTTCTGGGATGCATGTGCAGGACATGCAGGTTTGTTACATAGGTAAACATGTGCCATGGTGGTTTACTGCACCTATCAACCCATCACCTAGGTATTAAGCCCTGCATTAACTATTTATCCTGATGCTCTCCCTTCCCCAACTACCCCTGCCAACAGGCCACAGTGTGTGTTGTTCCCCATGTGTTCTCATTGTTCAGCTCCCACTTATACGTGAGAATATGTGATGTTTGGTTTTCTATTCTTGCATTAGTTTGCTGAGGATAATGGCTTTCAACTCCATCCACGTCCCTCTAAAGGATATGATCTTGTTCCTTTTTATGGCTGCATAGTATTCCATGTGGTATGTACCACATTTTCTTTATTCAGTCTATCATTGATGGCCATTTGGATTGATTCCAAAATTCCAAAAATAAAAACAATATTTGCTATTGTTAATAGGCTGTAGTGAACATACACATGCATATATCTTTGTAATAGAATGATTTATATTCTTTGGGTATATACCCAGTAATGGGATCGTTGGGTCAAATGGTATTTCTGGTTCTAGGTTTTTGAGGAATTGCCACACTGTCTTCCACAATGGTTTAACTAATTTACATTCCCACCAACAGTGTAAAAGGTTCCTGTTTGTCTCCACAGCCTCACCAGCATCTGTTGTTTCTTGACTTTTTAATAATCACCATTCTGACTAGCATGAGCTGCTATCTCATTGTGGTGTTGATTTACATTTCTCTAATGATCAGTGATGTTGAGCTTTTTTCATGTGTTTGTTGGCAGCATAAATGTCTTCTTTTGAGAAGTGCCTGTTCATGTTTTGCCCACTTTTTAATGGTCAATTTTTGCTTCTGTTGCAATTGCTTTTGGTGTCTTCATCATGAAATCTTTGCCTGTGCCTATGTCCTGAATGGTATTGCCTAGATTTTCTTCCAGGGTTTTTATAGTTTTGGGTTTTACATTTAAGTCTTTAATTCATCTTGAGTTAATTTTTGTATAAGGTATAAGGAAGGCATCGAGTTTCAATTTTCTGCATATGGCTAGCCAGTTTTCCCAGCACCAATTTATTAAATAGGGAATCCTTTCCCACTTCTTGTTTTTGTCAGGTTTGTCAAAGATCAGATAGTTGTAGATATGTGGTCTTATTTCTGAGATCTCTATTCTGTTCCATTGGTCTATGTGTCTGTTTTTATACCAGTACCATGCTGTTTTGGTTACTGTAGCCTTGTAGTACAGTTTGAAGCTGGGTAGTATGATGCCTCCAGCTTTGTTCTTTTTGCTTAAGATTGTCTTGGCTGGGCCGGGGGGGTGGCTCAAGCCTGTAATCCCAGCATTTTGGAAGGCTGAGGCGGGTGGATCACGAGGTCAAGAGATCGAGACCATCCTGGTCAACATGGTGAAACCCCGTCTCTACTAAAAATACAAAAAATTAGGTGGGCATGGTGGCGCGCGCCTGTAATCCCAGCTACTTGGGAGGCTGAGGCAGGAGAATTGCCTGAACCCAGGAGGCGGAGGTTGCGGTGAACCAAGATCATGCCATTGCACTCCAGCCTGGGTAACAGGAGCGAAACTCCATCTCAAAAAATAAAAAGATTGTCTTGGCTATAGGGGCTCTTTTTTTGTTCCACATAAATTTTAAAGTAGTTTTTTTTTCTAATTTTGTGAAGAATGTCAATGGTAGTTTAATGGGAATAGCAGCATTGAATCTATAAATTACTTTGGGCAGTATGGCCATTTTCATGATATTGACTCTTCCTATCTATGAGCATGGAATGTTTTTCCATTCACTTGTGTCCCCTCATTTCCTTGAGCAGTGGTTTGTAGTTCTCCTTGAAGAGGTCCTTCACTTCCCTTGTTAGCTGTATTCCTAGGCATTTTATTCTCTTTGTAGCAATTGTGAATGGGAGTTCATTTATGATTTGCCTCTCTGCTTGTCTATCATAGGTATACAGGAATGCTTGTGGTTTTTGCACACTGATTTTGTAAACTGAGACTCTGCTGAAGTTGCTTATCAGCTTAAGAAGCTTTTGGGTTGAGGCAATGGAGTTTTCTAGATCTAGGATCATGTCATCTGCAAACAGAGACAGTTGGACTTCCTCTCTTCCTATTTGAATACCCTTTATTTATTTCTCTTGCCTGATTTCCCTGGCCAGTACTTCCAATAGTATGTTGCATAGGAGTTGTGAGAGAGGGCATCTTTGTCTTGTGCAGGTTTTCTAGGGGAATGCTTCCAGATTTTGCCCATTCAGTATGACATTGGCTGTTGGTTTGTCATAAATTGTTCTTATTATTTTGAGGTATGTTGAGAGTTTTTAACATGAAGGGATGTTAAATTTTCTTAAAAGTCTTTCTGCATCTATTGAGATAATCATGTGGTTTTTGTCTTTAGTTCTGTTTATGCGATGAATTACATTTATTGATTTGTGTATGTCGAACCAGCTTTGCATCCCAGGGATGAAGCTGACTTGATCATGGTGGATAAGTTTTTTGATGTGCTGCTGGATTTGGTTTACCAGTGTTTTATTGAGGACTTCTGCATCAGGGGTATTGGCTTGAAGTTTTCTTTTTTTGTTGCATCTCGGCCAGGTTTTGGTATCAGAATGATCCTGGCCTCATAAAATGAGTTAGGGAGAAGTCCTTCCTTTTCAATTGGAATGGTTTCAGAAGGAATGGTACCAGCTCCTCTTTGTACTTCTGGTAAAATTCAGCTGTAAATACATCTGGTCCTGAGCTTTTTTGTTGTTGGTGGTAGTCTAGTTATTACTGCCTCAGTTTCAGAACTTGTTATTGATTTATTCAGGGATTCAACTTCCTGGTTCAGTCTTGGGAGGGTGTATGTGTCCAGAATTTATCCATTTCTTCTAGAGTTTCTAGTTTATTTGCATAAAGATGTTTATAATATTCTCTGATGGTTGTTTGTATTATTGTGGGGTCAGTGGTAATATCCCCTTTATCATTTTTTATTCTGTCTACTTGATTCTTCTCTCTTTTCTTCATTAATCCAGCTAGCAGTCTATTTTATTACTTTTTTTTTTTCAAATAAGCAGCTCCTGGCTTCATTGATTTATTTATTTTTTTGGGGGGGGAGTCATTGATTTTTTTGAAGGGTTTTTAGTGCCTCTATTTCCTTCAGTTCTGCTATGATTTTGATTATTTCTTGTCCTCTGCCAGCTTTGGGGTTATCTAGTTCTTTTAGTTCTGATGTTAGGGTGTCAATTTCTAACAAAAGCTAGAAAGCTAGATCTTTCTAGCTTTTTGATGTGAGCACTTAGTGCTATAAGTTCCCCTCTTAATGCTGCTTTAGCTATATCCCAGAGATTCTAGTATGTTGTCTCTTTGTTCTCATTAGTTGCAAAAAACTTCTTGATTTCTGCCTTAATTTCATTATCTACCCAGGAGTCATTCAGGTGCAAATCTTGCTCTTGTTGCCCAGACTGGAGTGCAGTGGTGCAATCTCAGCTCATTGCACCTCTGCCTCCCGGGTTCAAGTGATTCTCCTGCCTTGGACTCCCAAGTAGCTGGGATTACAGGCATGCGCTATCACACCTGGCTAATTTTTTGTATTTTTAGTAGAGTCAGGGTTTCTCCATGTTGATCAGGCTGGTCTCAAAAACTCCCAACCTCAGGTGATCCACCCACCTCAGCCTCCCAAAACACGTGACCCACTGCTCCTGGCCCGTTGTTCAATTTCGATGTAGTATTGTTTTGTTGTTGTTGTTTTTTGAGATGAAGTCTCACTCTGTCACCAGGCTGGAGTGCAGTGATGCAATCTCGGTTCACTGCAACCTCTGACCCCTGGGAGATTCTCCTGCCTCAGCCTCCTGAGTAGCTGGGATTACAGGCATGTGCTACCATACCCAGCAAATTTTTATATTTTTAATAGAGATGGGGTTTCACCATGTTGGCTAGGATGGTCTTGATCTCCTGACCTCGCGATCTGCCCGCCTTGGCCTCCCAAAGTGCTGGGATTACAGGCATGAACCACCCTGTGTGA